ATGATCTCTTAGAGGTTTTCCAACCTTAATGATTCTATGATTCTATCTGTTGTACACATTGTTTTGGGTATCAAAGAAAGGACAGACATTCTGGTGTAGAAAACACAAAAGTATAAACCTGCATGAAGAGCAAGTGGTTAGGTGAGAGAATCTATAAAAATCATATTCTTCTAGGAGTTGTACACATTGTTTTGGGTATCAAAGAAAGGACAGACATTCTGGTGTAGAAAACACAAAAGTATAAACCTGCATGAAGAGCAAGTGGTTAGGTGAGAGAATCTATAAAAATCATATTCTTCTAGGATCAAGAATACATATAAATTGTCATTAACCATATAATACATCCTGACATTCTGGTGACTTAAGATGTCCACATTAAATGGTCCTTCAATAGTTCAGAAAAAATGCTCAGCAAAAAATTATGTGGGGGAAAAAACAGAAAGATTAATCCCTTCTCAAAAGACAATAACCAAAGCGCCGCATACTGCACAAGAACAGCGCTCCAGGTCAATCTGGTTCCTAGCCACAACACAACTAACTGGAAAACCTAACAGCAACAAATGGCCTACTGTGAGATGTGAGGACAAGTACATATTAGATAGTGATCAGCAACTATGTTTTTAGATCAGACTACATTGCATTTAAGGAGCTGATGAACAAATGAAGCAGTCAGCAACTGTATGTAAACAGAACTAGTTTAATGACAGCTACCCTTTCCCCAGCCGGACCCTGATCCACCCACGTGTTCAGGCACAACTGCGGCATGAAAGGCACAGTAACTGCTCTGAATTCTTTCTTCAGGAAAAAACAAGCCTCAGCACTCTACACTTTAACACAGTAACTTAGGTAAGCTTTTATCACACAAAACAGTGGTGCTCCTTTCACACACACCATGGGGAAGAAGGCCAGTCTGTCATTGTTATTAAGTAAAACATCTCAGAAGCACTTCAAATATTACAGAACTTAGTACTAACAAAACTGGCTGTCTCCTTACCTACAAGATAGTTTAAAGGCTTTTCTCCACAAGATAAGCCTGCTGTATGAACCCTTCCCATCCCAAACAGAACAAATAACTGACCAATTCAATTAAAATCGCTATCACACAACACATCAAGCGTTAATTTAAAAACTATACGAAGACTTACGTATTTGAACCAATTCATTGGTTCATTCACCACAAAAAAATCTAGTAAGATGCAGAAAAAAGTTGATATATTAATTCCTCCTACCTGCTCAAGTTCTTGAGCTTTCTGTCGTTCCAATATTTTTTCTTTGTGTCTTTCACCTCTGACAGCTGCTACTGACGTGGTTTTCAGTGACATGAAGTCTAAATTCATCCATTCTTCTCTCTTCAAAATAAATGCAAAGAATCAGTGTTCATACTTCCAACAAAAACATGGCTTAGGTGCAAATCAAACCAGTGCAACTACTGACAAATGTTACTTACAATAAACAGTATAGGTTTTACAAACACATATAAAATATTTTAATGAAAAGCAAATATGATTTTAAGAACCCCAATCTTTCAATTTTTTAATATTCACTTACACAAATAAATTTCATAAATGTCTTTCTGTAATTTGAAATACATCTTCACAATATATTTAAGACACTAGTAAACATGCAAACCGTACAGACTGCTTATTATTTGTTTAAATGAACACTGTACATCTAGACCAATTCCTTTTCATCTTGCTAATTCTGACTTCATGAGCTCTTACATCTCTTTTAGCGTATACAAATCTGCAATCAGTAACTGAGCATAGTTCATACCTCTGATATCTAGGCACTAACTGCACCCTCAAATTAAACAGTACACATCTAAATTCTGTGAACTGTACCCACAATAACAGGTAGAAAACTGCATTTACAAAACCTAAGCCAGACCAAGGACATTCTAAAAATGAGGACTACTCTCTATAGAAAAGCAGCATATAAAAAGCCTAGATATACCTACTACTTTTATACACACAAAACCTGAAGCCTCAAAAGAAAGCAGTGACATACACATTATAAACAACCACTCTACAAAAACAAGTATTTGGAGCACTTCTGTGGCTAGTATAGCAACCAAAATGACAAGATTACACCTATTTTGAAACATGTCCTTGCAGAATAGTCTTCATATCTTCAGAAGGGTTCAAGTCTGAGATGTCAATCTGAATAGATGCTATATGTCACACTTTCTCTGTTATTTAAAAATTATATTAGGCAACACACCAGAGAGTTTCAGAGGTGAAACACAACATTCCACTTCTCAGATCTCCTCTAAGAAAGAGAAGGAACTGAAAAATAATCTATCTTCAAGTGATTCAGTAGTATCTATGCCCACATTAGCAAGTAACATGGATCAACAGAAGTGGATGTGCATGGGACCTCTGGAGGTCATCTGGTCCAACCCCCCTGCTCAAGCAGGGCCACCTAGAGACAGTTGCCCAGGACCCTGTCCAGACAGCTTGTAAATATATCCAAGTATGGAGATTCCACCACCTCTCCAGGTAATCTCTGCCAGTGACTGGTCACCCTCACAGTAAAACACTGTTTCCTGATGTTCAGACAGAAACTCCTGTTTTTCAGTTTGTGCCCATTGCCTCTGGTCCTGTCCCTGGGCACCACTGAAAAGAGCCTGGCTCTGTCTTCTATATAGGCTTCAGATCTGCAGTTTGGGGATTTTTTAAGTAAGCACTCTGGACTAGTCTGAGACTGGTCCCATGGAGCACCTTAGGTGCACTTTGAGAACACACTTTCTAATTTAGTTTAATCCAACAGGAAATGGATTTACATGCTCCAAGACTTCTTCAAAATGTGAGCCAAAATACAAAATGTAGGGATAACCAGGAAATTCCTTTCAAAAGCACACTCTTTATCCAAAAATAGACAAGCCCAGGGTGCACATACAAGAAATGCTTGGAAAAAACTGTTTTTGCAGTATAAATTATCATGACGTACATAAGAATTTATATTTCATTACTTTATACTTTTCCAAGAAGATAGATATGATTCAGAAGTCCTTTTTATTTCTCTTAACAAGATGCACAAATTCAGAATGAGAAACAGGGACTTTTTTCAGGAGTGAAATTAGACACTAAATTAAAACTCATCATTTCACACAACTGAGGATGATATGTAACTCCATTTATGTTACTAAAATCACAGCAGTTCATTCCAGAATGACTTCATTTTCCAGAATAAATACTGCTTACTGGGCACAGAATTCACCTAAGAAGATCAAAAGAGGCATTGATTCCATAAATATTGTGGCTGAAAAGTCACCTCTCTTCCTTCTACCTGTTTAAGCACCACTGAAGCAAATATTCATTCAATTGTAGAATAGCCACCAAAATTATGCAGAAAAAATAACATGTCTAGTCAAGATCTTTAAGTTGACTTCTTTAAGAAAATCAGTCTAAGTTGCTAGAACCTCAAAACATGATGAAAGGAATTGGTGCTAGGAAACTTTAAGTGTAGTGCCTTGTTAAATACTAAGCAACTATTAGGTAGAGAAGTCTTCTGATGAATGAAATGTAACATTTACCTAGCTAAACGAAGACATTTATCTGTAAAATAGGTTTTCTTCAACACATTGCAAAAGAGCTGTCAAGAAACCTAAGCATGTTTCACATTTGGTCATACTGAATTTATATCTGGAGTAGTTATTAGACTGCTCACCTCCAGGGAGGGTTCTTTCACAGCATCTGATTGCTTGTTGACCTTCCAAGCCTTTTCTGTGTTATCTGACTGTGACACATTTGACTCAACCCATTCAACTGAAGAATCCTAAAAATAGAGTTTAATGTAAAGAATAATAATAAAACCTTAACATGCTATTACATGTTGATAAAATGCAATACTTGCCAAGTATATTGATAACCAAAATTGATGCTGATTACTAAGCATTACTAATACAATACTGTTTATTATTTTAAAATACTGATAATAAAAATAGAATATCGATATTCCCATAGGAAATTGTTCCTTCGTGATCAAAACATTCCACCATACTTCATGAGCACATCACAGTATGTAAGACTAGTTCATACTGGCCGTTTATTAGCATAACAATGCTAAAGTTAAAACTGTCGGAATAAAAACAAAACCAAAACCAATTGTTTTTATGGCATTACCAAAAAAAAAAAAACCTAAATTCATTACTAAGTACGTTTTACCTTAAAAACATAAAATCAGTAACACATTACAATATAAAGCACTGTACATGCTATCTCCTCCTATTTTCATATCCAACTTCCTACATTTGCACTTGCAAACATTGTACTGAGATTTTACACTTGAAGCAAATAGGACTCCATTGAACAGTTTCTCTTCTATCTCCATGAACGTGTCATGGGAATGGGAATAACAGTCTTTTGGTCAAAGGTATCAGCCAGGACTGTGCTGTATCCTGTGACTCACTGATGTGATCTGACAGGTTTTGATGACTCCCATGGGAAATGTGGGATATTTGTGGCTTAGGTTACTTCCCACACTGAAAAGCATTGCTCACTTCCGATATCAGTCCCTGGAAAATAAATCTCATCAACTGCATGTTCCTTCACACTTTCAGAGACTCTCTGAAAAGAAAAAAAAATAAAAAAAATCACAGTGCTAACTGACTTGTGCCAAAATGCCGAGAGGATGTTTTACATAATGTGGCCAGAAAGCAGCACCCAGATTTCTAATGCAGTCTCTGTACTCTTTTGCCAGAGTGCCCCTCATCTCTTTACAGATTCAAATGCACAAGTTTGAGCCTTCCTTCAGGCCCTCCTTCAGGCCCATGTACAGCTCCCATGTTTTTGAGAGTTTACATGGTTGAACATCCATGGAAAAAGACAGCTGTAACTCATGCTTAAAATCAAAGTCCAGTATTTGCAATTTTAGATGCATCATTCTACCATATACCACTGACTACAGGGAACCTATGAATTTTTCCACTCTATCCTAGAATGACGATTTTTTCAATTTCTCTCTGCTGAAAAACTATAAATCCCTTAGTTCCTAATGAGTGAATTCAATATTATAAAATTCACAAGCACTCACATAACAGCATCTTTTAAATTGATTAAATAGTATATTAAAAAGACAAACTTTGCCACAGTTTTTCCCAACAGAAAATGGTAAGAATGAGTCTTAATTTTACTAACCATGTGTACCCACAGAGACTAAAATGGTGCAGGTTTTAAAAAACGTCATTTGAAGCATTTTAAAGTTTCTTACTTACCGAAGAACTATCAAGTAAGTCATCCTTCTTTTCAGATTTTTGTTTCTTATTTTTCTTCTTTTCTTTCTTAGCTTTTTTTGAGTGCTTATCCTTTTTCTTTTTTTTCTGCACAGAATGTTCCTACAAGGAAGTGTTTGTAAATGAGATCCAGTAAACCGAATCACCCACATACAAGAAAAAATAATCACAATCTACTTACCAAACCACACTGAAAAAGCTAAACCACACACAGCTGGATATAGCTACATTTTACTGCTACTACCCTCTCCCTCTTCTATTGGGGGCAGGGGGAGGGCATGCCTCACATCCATAATCAACTTTTCTTCCCCCTCTCAATATCTTTTTCACTGGAACTAAGGCACTATAACTATACGTAGAATATCTTCTACACTACATTTATTTCAGTCAAATCTATTTCCTCGGGAATCACTGCATCATCAATACACATCTGTCCTTTGTTGAAATATCTGCACAGATTTCTACACTAGAAAGATGCGATATTCAGAGGTTCCATTAAGGCTTCTCCTGTGAATGACCACAAATGGGACTGCTATGAAGCCTTGGATCCTCCAGATTTCTTCCCATGGGACTATTCTTCTCTGGCAGTGCTTGCTCTTCTGCATTTGGTAGAAATTAAAGCTGAAGTTGAATGACAGAAATTTTTCCTCTTTGTGAGTAAAGGATTATTTCCACTTTAAAAAAGCTAATACCAAAGCATAAAGAATTCAGAAATTGGGAGGTTTTTAAAGATCATATTAAAGCCCTCAAAGCCTTCTGTTCATACGAACATGCTGTAAAGCTAACAACACAATTCAATGATTTACAGTTCCGTCACCTTTTCCAGTTGTTCCACACGTTCATTCACATCAGCAAGCATCCACGTATCTTCACCTCGTAGGTGCTTTAGCTGCTTGCGCCTCTGCTCCTTTTCATAACTAATTTTGGCCTAAGACAAACAGAGAACAAAAATAACTAGGCGGAGTTCAGTAGCATTTACTTACAGACACACTGACACAACCATACACAATGTTAAGAACTGTGCTTGAGAACTTTTCCTTTGAGAGGACTGCAATAAAAATACTTCTGAATTACATGTTAAAGGGGAAATTCAGCTAAAACATATTATGCACCCTCCTTCTTCAAGCTACAACTTTGCAGCTCCTCTAGCATTGATTTCATCCTATCATCCTAAATAAGAGCGACACGAAGACATTCAACTCCTTTCTTCATTCTGCAAAGTCTTCTGTTCTTACAACCTTTATGAAGTGCATATGGTATGATATAGTGGACTTCTGATTTTCTATTTCAAAAAATTCTCTGGACAATTACTCCATTGCAAAGCACAGCTCACTGTCTGTTAATTTGAGGAATTAGCAAGCCTGTCTTTGTGCACATTCAACTTTGAAAATACCTCAGCCAGGTGCAAAACTTGGAACTGCAGAAGTCCATGCTCTCAAGGAGTATACAAGTATACAAGGATTAGCATTTTGGGCTGTAGAATGTTCTTCCCTTTCTGGTTATGGTGATAAAACTAGAAGTGCTTTTACTACTACTTCTGAAAAAATAATCATCACTGCAGACAGTTTCAATTCCAGAAAAGGATTTTTATAAACCGCATCAATAAAATAACGACCTGTTCAGCCTCTGAAGTTCCCTCTATTGCTTTCAGCAGAAACATGACTTTCACAAACAAGTTTACTTAAATAGAACTTGCCATTAGAAAACTCTTTATCCCAAAGTGCAATATATCACCACACCTGATTAAACAGGAGGAAAGTTATTTTATATTATTACAACCCTAATTTTGTGTGAGGTAAGTCTTGCAAGTTTGAGCTTGCTTTTGGGTTTTTGTGGGGTTTTTTTATAAATAACTAAAGTCAAAGCAAAACCTAAAGGTGGAGTTTGGTTTTCATCCTGAAACACCAAGTTTTACCAGAAAGTGTTTTCAATCATAAGCCAAGAGATTGCATACAAGTTTAAAAAAGACTAATATTTAAAAAAAAAAATCTCAGGAGATGATACAACCAGTTGAAGTCTTTCCTCCTGGTCAGCAATTAGTTCTCTGTAACAAACTCTAGATACAAGCCTGTGCACTGCACAAGACAGTAACCTCCCCACCACGGGCCAGTTTCTCTTTTTTGATACAGCCAAGAAGGAAATCTGCAGCTTTTGTACTGATAGAAAATGAGGCTTGCAGGAGGTTAACCAGGACACCGTAAGGGTTCAACGAACAGAAATACATGCTGAAAAATAAGATTAAAAGTTTAAAAAAAAAAGCTAACTCATAAGGTAGGAGTGCTGTTGCATCTTTGAACATTGTCATTAGCAATATTGAAAGTAGCATAAAGAAAAAAAAAAATCAAAATACTACATATCTGTGCCCAAACAAAGCATCCTTTTAAACCTTCATTGTCTACTTTCTTAGAAGCCCCAGCAGGTGATAAGCTTTCTAATGCGCTTAAATGCAAGCAAAGCAAGGCTGCTACCCAGACTTCTTAATTTTAAAAGAAGGGACTTCGCAAAAACAAAAAAAAAATCGTTTAAGTCAGCTCAAATAAAGAGGCCAAGACTGGGACTTCCATCTCTAGAATGAAGCTAACAGTCTACAAGGGTGAATGCTACATCTTAAAATTCAAAAGGCAGGGATAAAGACAGAATGAGTTAAAAGCACATTGAGACATTTATTCCGATATCAAAACAGTTTTCCAGTTTATAAATAAACAAAATAACAAAAGAATAAGCAGGACTATAATTCAGTGAGAGTGAAACAGCTGTTAAGCATAACATAGGGTCACCAAAACCACCCAGGACTCCAAAAAATGCAGGTATGTTTCCTGCTACCTCTCCATGATCCAGATTGCTCACTGGCTAACCCTGCCCACCCTAAGACATCTATCCATCTGGGACAACACCCTTGGAAGTTCATGCAGAAACCACTGACTGATATTTTCTGTTCTAGTCCATACAGACGATGATGTGGCCCTTCTGTCTTAAAAATATATTCATCTGACTAAAGTAACTAAGCATGCCACATTCGTGGACAAGTGAAGGGTAATAACCTCAGCTATGCAACTCACAAAATGTCTACAAGCCTCACACACACAAAACTTAAGCTGGACAGAGATGAAACAGCAGAGATAAAGGGAACTTGAATATAGTTCTAGATGGGAAAAACACAACAAAAACAGACTCCAAACTTCTTTACTCCACAAGTAAACACGAAACATGTTGCCAAGATTTAGACTGGGAAAAGGACAGGCTTTCCACATACTCCATTTCACTTTTGGTTGAGAAAGACCTGCAGCTGGAGTCAACAGTTCCCTTCCACCCTTTCAGCAGCTCTTGGGCATATAAATCTATAAACACCTCATATAAAGGCCAATCAAGATCAGCTTGTCAACATGTCTTCATTTAATATGCTCTTCGCCTGTCTAGGAAGATTTAGCCTCTTACCCTTCTCTATAATAACAGGTATAATTTAAATAAAATTACTATTTCCTTCATGTTACCAAAGTTACAAATATATATCACATAAAATGAAGTCAACATCATAAACAAGGCACAAAAGGAGCTTTTATACTTTTTATTAGATCCAAGAATAAACAGAAAAAAATACAGGCAAGTATTCAGGTAATTGCAATACATAATCCTAATAAAAGAGGTGGATCATCATTTTGGCTGAAGTATACAAATACATATTCAGAACACAGAATGGCTAGAAATCATCATCAAACTGCAGACTATTGTCTCCTGAATACTAAATGAAACAGGATTGGGCAAGATGAATCTGTAGTGGCAATACCACCAGACTGTTAAAAAGAGAGAGACAGAAACAAAAGCATCAGGTGAAAGTTTGTTTCTTCTTAGACAAAGATACAAAATATAGAAGATCCTTAACAATATCCATATGTAAAATAAAAAAGAGAAAGATGCCTAGGGATTTAAAAAGATGAAAGAAGTTGTATTTTCACCTAAATTATCATTTTAACACAAGACTAGAAAGTTAGCAGCGATACCCTCTGATCCTTTCTATCTCTCAAAACTATCTAGCTCCCTCTACCATTCAATTACAATATTAAATTTTTATTGTTGGTGAATGGTTTCCCCTCACACACACACACAATTATTTCAAGTAGGGGGGGAGGAGGAAAATCTGTGTACTACTTTCTTAGCTTCAAACCTTACCTTTCTATTCTATTTGTCTTTTATAATGATGCAGGGCTTACTAGCATCTAACTACTTTTTCTTCCTTTTCTACATTTTATAATTAAGTCCCCTGCCACACTTACCGTTCTACGCTGCAAAGGCCAACGCTAATAATTTCACATCTCTCAACCCACAGGAGTTCATGCATTTAATTCACATTAAGGTTCATTTATACTTTATGATACCACAAAGATTTCCAACAATTTATCCTTCCGCCTTTACAGATGAGTACTTAACATTAGGTACATTTTAGGTCACCACTGCAATATTTTTATGTTTTTCCTCCATAAATATAGGATGCTACATTTCTGAAATGCCTCTATTTCAAAGTAATACACTAATTATGCAAATGGTATGCTACACACGAACACAGAGGACCATTTACAAGCAACAACCTGTCAAGAAGGGCAAGCATCGTACTACATTACATACTTCTGCGACACCCTAACAAAGTTGCTCATAGTCTCCTTTGCAACAAGCACAAGCTGAAATATAATGCTGGCAAAGCACTCTGAAAGGTCTGTTGGTACGGTGCTATAAAAACAATAATTACAGCATTATGTTAGCAATGTTTGCCAAGGTGAACAGAGCCAAATTCTGTAGTCTTTACCACAAGCAGGCCAAAGGGTCTTGGATTTCACAGCCCCATCTGAATGAGGAAGAAAACCAAGTTCAGGGAAAGTGCCTTCTGGTTTTCATTAAGCAGGTCATTAAGGCCAGCCTGCATGATTGCTGACAACAGTATCTGCTAAATGAAGAATAAAACTTGCTCCAAACAGCCTGTAATACACTGCAGACACAAACACCAAAAGCTGTAAAAATGGCACCGTGCCACCCCAGGAAGAAGCAGAAAAGATCAAGGACCTGCCAATGGCCAAGGTCTAGGTCACACAATAAAAGGAGGTTGTTACATGATGGTCCCCCAAAGATGTCCAGAAGTGGACGTGCCTCACCTAGGGATGGAGGCTAAAATACTCTCTCCACAGCCCACATCAACCCTGACCAAGGCTCTTTCCTAACCCCAACTCTATGTACCATTTCAGCTCTCACCAAAGCCAGAGAAAATTTTCCATACCATTACAGAGACCATGTAATTTCCCATCTTTAACTGTGGTCAACCTCTAGCTCTTCAGATGATAATCATCACCATTCAAAAGCCAACTTCTCCATCCAAAAGAAGAAAAATTCCCTTTTTCTCCAAAAAGCAATCAGAAGAAACTCCAGAGCACAACACCAGATCAATATAGCATGACAAAAACATCCAACACAAAGAGCAACAACTAAGCTGCTCTAATGGCTGCCTGCCACTGAAGGGCAGGGCTCCATTCCCATACCTCTCCTCTCCACACTCCCACCCACATGTTCCCACCACCTTCCCTGCACAGGCCCATCCCTGCACTCTGGCCTCGAGGGACTTCAAGGACTACCGTGACACAAAACGAATCCCACCAAGAGTAGGGTGCAGCTTCCTGCAGATCAAGCTTCCAAGCTGGCCCTCTGGCAAGGTCATCAAGGCTACCAGTTTAAGCACAAGGAACGAGGAAAAAAACATGCACTTTGGGGAGGAAGGGAACAGGAGGAAGTGGTGTGGAAAAACTCCTTTTGGTAACAGCTTTCTGTTAGATAAATTCAAAAGACATAACACCTAGCTCAGTCTTTCAGACACTAACATAAAGCACCCAAAATCTGAACAACGAGCTTTTATTTCTAATGTCAGGACCACCTCCAATCCTATC